TAGTTGCATTTCCACTCGTGTTCTATCCACCAATTTTCGTTTCAATCGGACAACTCCTTCTTGGTGCGTCGATTTTTTTGTTATAGAGTGTAAATAGGTACTATCAGTGTATGTTAATTATTCCATTCATGAAATGCCGAAATTAAAGTCACGACATGTTTATATGAGATCCCCTATCGTTGAACCCCATTTTCATTTCATGGACCCCTAATTTTTTTTCATGAACCCCTTACAGGTTGTTGTCAACCCCTGGGGGTCGATAAAGACCACTTTGGGAACCACTGGTCTAAAGTAAGAACTTTCCCAGCCATTCCTCTGGACCTGTTGCGGTGACTATGGTAACGAGATATAACTAAGTGGAAAGTCGCGTCTCCGGAATCGGCGGACTTTCCGAAGTCCGTATATTTGATTTTTCCGTATAATTGACCTCCAAGGTAAACAAAGCTTAAAATGATCTGAATCTAAGAAGCAGAAAATAAATAAACATTATTTTTCGAGCAATAATGTTTTAGTATTAGAATGATATCTAATCAATCATAAACAAAATATTAGAAAAAAAATAATTATTGCTATTCTAAAAATAAATATAGAAAACGAAAAAAATTCCCAGTTATGAAAATATTAATTGCTCTCTCCACCATTTTGAACTAGAACGATTCAAGCAAGAAGGGGAAATTCCCGTCATTCAATAAGGTGGGTAGGTGGAGAAGAAAAATTCATTTCCTCCTTACTTGTCATTCAAGTTGAGGGCGGGGTAGTGACAAATTCTTATTTTCTCTCCCATCATTGGCTATCAATCAAGCATAAAGGCGTGGCATGCTAATTGGGTTCTCTTTATTTTTTCTTGTGTGACTAAAGGGGATTCCCCCTCCACTTTAACATTCAAAAAGGTTCCAGGAAATGCCTCTTTTACTAGCCAGCTGCATAGAAAGAAGGGGGAGGGAGGGGACTCAGTTGTGCTCTTTTGAAAACAACCCCCCCCCCTTTCCTGCATTCCAGAGGAGGAGCGTCATGGTCTTAGTAGATCTTCTGTTCTCTTTTCTGTTGATTTATGGGTTCAATGCATAGATCTCTAGAAGCTGAGAAGGGGAAAAACCTGTCAAAAGACTTCGTTTTTTTTTTTTTTTTTAAAAGGAGAGGGGAAGATGAAGAAATGTTTGTTTATTTTGATTGTTAAAAAGTGTCCGGGAAATCGACCCTTCCGGAAAAGGGACGTCCGGATATGGGACGTTACACGTATTTCATGTAGGTATGTCGGGATCTGGACAGGTTTTGGATCTGGTCGGCTGGAGAAAGGGAATCTTTACCTTCTGTCTATAGTGTTAGCCCTAGAGTGAAGAAAAGCTACCCTCCTTCTTGTTTCCAGCAATGTTTTATAATTGAAATATAATTTAATATTAACCACTATAAAAAAATTATTTAATTTCAATTCCCTCAACTGAATCAATGCAATCAAAAGTGTATCAATACTCCTGGAAGTTACTTGTGTTCATGTGAGTCTGGTTATAGACTCAAAAATAGCTACGAATGCGAAGGTAACAAAGGCATTTCTTTTTTTCTATTTACTTTCATAATAAACAAATACAATTCCCATGGAATAACAATCCATGAGGATTCGTGATGGTTCCAATGGCTGATGGTTCTCGAGAAAATATCATTAAAACAATTTGATTTTTTTTAAATGTTAAACCATCAAAAATCATTTCGAATTCCTATGATGGAAATTTTTGATGGTTCAACATGAACAAACCATCAAAACAAGTTGCTATTCTTATGTTGGACCATCATAAATCAGTCCAAATTCCTACATTGAGGTGATGGTTACTTATGCTGGTTACTGTTCATGATGGAATTATTGATTATTACCATTAAGATTATGTTGGTCCATCAATGGAAAACCATCAAAAACTTTGAGTTAGGAGTGTATATGTTTGAAAATTTTGCCCCAAAACAAAATTTTTTATTGAGAATAAGTGCAAATTATTTTGCTTTTTTTAGCAATATTTTATGGGTGAAAAATAATTTAATATTAACCAATGTAAAAATAAATAAAATAATTTCAGATATCGATGAATGTGAATTCTTTTATTTGAGCAATTGCAATCAGAAGTGTATCAATATTCCAGGAAGTTACAAGTGTGTATGTGAATCGGGTTTGTTATAAAGTCGAAAATAGTTACGAATGCGACGGTAACAAAGGCATTTTTATTTTTATTTACTCTCTCATAATAAATCTTCTTTTTTTCCTACACTGTATTTTATTTGAAGTTTGAGCGTAATTATACTGAAAAATATATTATTTAACAGCATATCTTTTTTTTTCGTAGGAAACTTAACTCAAAGTATGAACAAGAAATCAGAATTCAAATATTAATTTCTTGTGTATTCCTAAATATGGTTCATTCACCAGGAGTTGGTTCTTGGGTCCACCTCCTCGGAAGAAGAGTTCATTTCATCGCGAGAGGAGAAACGTCTCCGAGTTTGAAATTTAGACAACCCTTAATGCGCACGAAAACAATGAGTTCTTTTTCAATCACTAACTTCGCTTCATCATCAGCTATTATACTTTTAATTACTGTAGCTAACTAAATATAATGCAGCAAAATGTCTCAAAAAGGACCAACTATTCACTCAAAAGACAGAAATATCTAATTTATAAAATATTTAATGTTAAAAAAACAAATATAAAATTCATATCCTTCTCCCAAAAATAGGGAAATAGTATCGTCAGATACTATGTGATGAAGGCGGAGCAAGTGTAAACTCCTGGTGAACGAACTGCAGTTTCCATTTTTTTTTTGAAAAATTTCGCCTTTCTTACAAGTGCACTTATAAATTTCGGTTTATTTTTTCATCAAATAGGATGCTTTGTAAACATATAGCTTTGTTAAAATTAATTAAAATGTTCACTTTTGTAAATTATTATTGCTTACAAATGTAGACAAAAAATAAGTAAGCGCGTAAAATTACAAAAAAAGAAAGAAAACGATAACGTTATACAGACTATGAGAAAATTTAGTGATAAGCTGCGTCAGAATGACTAAATGAGCAGAGAAAGGACGAATATTTTTTTGTGTTTAAAAAAAGATTATAGAGCTAAATCTTTTCCTTGTTGAAGCTTTCAGAGAAATATACATGCAATAGGAAAGCAATAATTGCCGCATGTATGAGAGCAAATTTCATCGACTTCTTTTTGATGAAGATTTGTGTTCGACATTAGAATGAAAACAGTGTCACAGATAACCATTTGCGGCATCGCAACTTTCAGAAAAATGTGTAATTGATAGGAGAACAACTAAGGAGATTCCGAAAACTTGTGAAGTAAATTTCTAGAAAACAATCCAAGGGGCAGTTTCACATAAAAACTTCACATTTAAAAAAATAAATTATTTATCTTTATCCCTTATGTATACCTGCTACTACATTGCAACTAAAGTGCAATAGTGATAGATACTTATTTCTGAAGTCACGTGTATATTTTGAAACGTCACGTCAGTCATACGTATTGTTTGTCTAAAGTAAGAACTTCTCCAGCCATTCGTTTGGACCTGTTGCGGTGACTATGGTAACTAGGTATACTTATTTCAAGTAGGTGTGTCGGGCCATTTTTTGGACAGATTCTGGGTCGGATCGGCGGGAGAAAGGGAATCTTTTCCTTCTGTCTGTAGTGTTAGCCCTAGAGACAAGAGAAGCTACCCACCTTGAAATGCGCTATTCTTGTTTCGAGCAATGCTTTATGATTGAAAAATAATTTAATATTAACTACTATAAAAAAATTATTTAATTTCAGACATCGATGAGTGTCAATTCACTCATTTGAATCAATGTAGTCAAAAGTGTATCAATACCCCTGGAGGTTACTTGTGTTCATGCGAATCTGGTTATATACTCAAAAACAGTTATGAATGCGAAGGTAACAAAGGCATTTCTTTGTTATTTACTCACATAATAAATTATTTTTATAATATATGTATATTGTTTTTTAATTTTTCAGATATAAACACTCCTGGTCCTGTGCTCTGTTCATGTCCTCCGGGATTTGAACTGAAGGATAATAATAAGACATGCGTTGGTGATTCCATATTTACACAATTAAGTTTATAAATAAAAAAACTTATTAATTAAATTCTAATAAGTTTTGAAAATTATAAAGAATTGCAGGATATTTTTTCATTTATTATTCACTACAATAATATTATTTTTATTATGAACTATCCTAAATTCTATAATTCAATATCATTATTTTAAAGGGTGATTATAAGATGATAATAAGACATGTGTGCTGGCGATTCAATCTCTACAATAAATTATATTCTTCTTCTATTATTTTCTTTTCTTTCTTTTTTTATATTCTAGGTAGTTTTAAGAATCTCAAAAAAAATTTAAGTTGCAAGAAAAAATAAATTATTTCTAGAACCGAAAAAAAACTATTGAGTAATTAGTAAAGCTACTAATTAATTAAATTCTAATAAGTTTAGGAAATTATAATGAATTGCAGAAAATTTTTTTAATTATTATTCATTACAATAAGTAATATTTTTATTACGAATTATCATAAATTCTATAAATCAATATCATTATTTTAAAGGGTGATTATAAGATGATAATAAGACATGTGTGCTGGTGATTCAATCTCTAATATAAATTTTTTCTTTTTCCATTATTTTCTTTTCTTCCTTTCTTCATATTCTAGGTAGTTTTAAGAATCTCAATAAAAATTTAAAGTTGCAAGAAAAAAAACAAATTATTTTCAAAACCGAAAAAAACAATTAAGTTTATTAAAAAAGCTGCTTGACGCCCGGTGGCTGAGTGGTAGCGCTTCGCGCTGCCGTGCCACAGGTCCTTGGTTCGATCCTTGGGCCGGGCAAGGCCGACTCAGCCTTTCATCCCTTCAGTGGGTCGATAAAATGAGTACCAAGCATGCTTGGGAACTAACACTGGGGGTTCCGCGTTCGGCTGACCATCCGACCGGAACATATGCTCCTGCACCCCAGAGCCCAAGGTCAAGAAAACTGAGATGGGCACAGTCGGCCTTGGCCCTCGTAATGGGCTGTCGCGCCACTGAGTTAGTTAAAAAAGCTGCTTATTAAATAAATTCTAATAAGTTTAGAAAATTATAATGAATTGCAGGATATTTTTCAATTATGAGTTATCACAAATTCTATGATTCAATGTAATTATTTTAGTATAATTATAATAAGAATTTTATAATCGTACTGAGAATGAATATATTAATGAATTTTATTAATTGTTATGAACTATAACAAATGTGTTAAATTCTATTAAATATTATTTGAGTAATAATGGCCTTTAATAGTTATTTTGCATTATAATAAACTTTAAATGAATTTTATAACGAACTAATTCAGTATTATAGAATTTTATTATGGGTTACTAAGCAGAAGTGGTCTTACCTGATTTGAGTTAAAATGTGTGATATATAGATTTTAAAAAAATCTTGCCCCATACCAGATTTTTTAAAATCAGGCAACTGATTAAATTTTAATATATTATATTTCAGGATTATGTCTTAAAACGTGGATATTTTGTCACGTGTATATTTTAGAATATGAACTATAACAAATGTGTTAAATTCTATTACATATTATTTGAGTAATAATGTCTTTTAATAGTTATTTTGAATTATAATAAACTTTAAATGAATTTTAAAACGAATTAATTCAGTATTATAGAATTTTATTATGGGTTACTAAACAGAAGTGGTCTTACCTGATTTGAGTTAAAATGTGTGATATCTAGATTTAAAAAAAATCTTGCCCCATACCAGATTTTTTAAAATCAGGCAACTGATTAAATTTTAATATATTATATTTCAGGATTATGTCTTAAAACGTGTATATTTTGTCACGTGTATATTTTAGAATATGAACTATAACAAATGTGTTAAATTCTATTACATATTATTTGAGTAATACTGACTTTTAATAGTTATTTTGAATTATAATAAACTTTAAATGAATTTTAAAACGAATTAATTCAGTATTATAGAATTTTATTATGGGTTACTAAACAGAAGTGGTCTTACCTGATTTGAGTTAAAATGTGTGATATATAGATTTAAAAAATCTTGCCCTGTTCCAGATATTTTAAAATCAGGCAACTGATTAAATTTTAATATATTATATTTCAGGATTATGTCTTAAAAATTTTCGCCCATTTAGTGCTTGATTCAAATGCGAAATCATTCATCGCAGATTGCCGTTGTCTTCCGGGATTTATCGGATTTCCATCTCTAAACATACCCTGCAGTGGTATGTATATGGATAAGTTATGGTTTAATTAATACACCGTTTGTAAAAAAAACTTCTTATAAATTTTCTTTAAGAAATAAGAGCGCTTTTAATTTTTTGTTGTAACTGACAGAACATTCTTTTAACTCTAAAAAGTTCTCGGATGTATCTTTTCAAAGATTATTATTTTAAGGCTAAAAATATATATGTGAAATAGATATAAGGTTAAAAATTTTAAAAAGCCGAAGGAAAATATTAAAAAGCCGAGAAACAAAATAATAAAGCGATATAATTTCGTCATCAGCTCACACGATTATATTCGCAGAAAATAAGTGCTTTCTAATATTGTATTAATATAGCCCTAGCAAAACATATCAATACAATATATAATCAAGTGTGAGGAGCACTAAAAAAAATTGGAAATCAGGCAAAAAGTAGGAAATAAAATGTAAGAAAATATATAATAAAGTATAAAATGTAATCTATCAAGCGAATAGCGAATTCAAATGAACTTACACGTTCTGGAATCTTTCAAGAATAATTTAAAATATTTTCGTAATAAGTTTGTCAGATTGAAATATAAGAAAATAGAAGCGTAAATAGAAGAATCTGTTATGGAGCGTTCTCACTGCTGTACTGAAGCACTTTTGATTTGTTAGTCATCTTGGATTTGCCCGAAAATTGATGTCCGTAATGTAATAATATTATACTGGATAAATTAAAATTTATAATTAATAAAATTGGTATTTAATTATACTATTTTAGACGATTAATATTTAATTAAAAAAATATGAATTTGCACACATTGGATTTGCACATGGTAAAAATATAAATTTAGTTAACAAAGAAGTTTTTAGTAAACTTATTAATTATAATAACATGTAATTTACCAAATGATTTTATATAGAACTTAATTACATTAGAATTTAAGATTCACCTGCCGCAATATATATTCCTTGTATATATTAATAAACTATTGAATTTTTTTTCTTCTTTTTTTTTTTAAATTTTCCAGATATAAATGAATGCCTTAGAAATAATTTTGGTTGCTCACATTTTTGCATAAATACATTTGGTTCTGCTCTCTGCTACTGTCCTCCGGATTTCAAACTGAAAGATGACAATAAGACATGTGCTGGTAATTCAAGCTTTACATGAATATTTCCATCCCTTCTTATATATTCTTTTCTATTTTTCTTTCTTCATATTCTAGGTGGTTTTACGAATCGCAGGAGATTATATGGTAGAAGAGAAGAGAAATATATCTAAAACTCGAAGAAGAAACTTAAAAGAAGTTTATTAATATAGTACTTGTATTAATCTATTTATTAATTAAATTCTAATAAGTTTTGGAAATTATTTCGAATTATAAGATATTTTTAATTACTTTATTAGTTATTATAAATATTTTTAAATTTTTATTAATTATTGTAAATATTATTTTTTTATGAATAATCATTTCTATAATTTAACATATTAATTTTATTATAGTTATAATAAGAGTATTATAATCACACTGAGATGGAACATAATAATGACTTATATTAATTGTTACAAATTATAAAATTTTTTTAAAAATTTTATTTAATATTATTTGAGTAATATTGACTTTTAATAATTATTTTGAATTATAAAGAATTTGAAATGAATTTCATAAAGAATTAATTTAAGAATTTTATTATGTTAAATAATTTTATTACTTGACGACTGTCTGACTGGTGACTTGAAGACTGTCCTCAATTTTAGAAATTTTGAACGTTTCCCTTCCTGCTTAAAATGATTTAAAATGGATGATTTGAGCTTAAATATGTGAAATATTGATTTATTTTTAATATCAAAATGTACTTATATGATCATTTTTGATATAATAATTTAATGTTATTTCCATTCTATAAATTTGATATTATATTGTGCAAAGTTTTGTGTCGATTGGAGATGAATAAAATAGTTCTTAAGAGTCCAAAAATTTATTAACAGCAATTTACAGTACTCAATTACAACAGATATCAGTGCAATACACAAAACGCAGGCTTCACTATCTCAGTCGGGTCAATGAACTCCCTAGAGACTCGCAAATCAGAATAATATTGAACAAATGCACTGCAAAATTTATATAGGCTTGGCGACGAAGCCCCGGAACTTTCAACAAGATTCTAGACAATTCTCGTATAACCCCGTAAATATTAGTCCCAGGGCCCGACTTATCCTAATTGGGGCCCCCATTGCTTCACTTCTTCAGTAATGAAGAATTGAACTTTATGGAGGTATTTAAATTTTTCGCCTCTCTATACTAACATGACAAGAAAATTGACTAGAACCTAAAATTGCTATAAAGTCCTCCCCCCCCCCTCCAATGGTTCGACGAAATATCGTTCAGTCCATTTTATTGATTTTCTCTATGTCCGTCCATGCCAAATGCAGTTTTCTGAATGATAACTTTGTCATCTAGCTGTGAAAAATGCATATCCTTGCTGATATTAGGGAGGAATTCAGCTAAATTTCCGTAATTACGATGGCTCACTTAAGCCAATCAGAAGGCTGTATTTTTGTAAACACATCGCATTTTGCAAAGTGTAAAAATACAGCATTTTGAGTGGTAAATTTGTCCATCGTATTTGCGGAAATTTATCTGAATTCCGAACTAGAAAGACACGGATTTCTGAATTATAAATTGTTTGTGCTCATACGATAGATTAATGAAGAAGCTAACATAAAACGGACGGATTTTACACTGTACTGATATTTGGCTTAAACAAAAGTTCATTTATGTAGGAAACCTAAAAGAAACTTTCAATTCGATTTGGGGCCCCCTCTGATGCTGGGCCCGTTTGACCCTGCCTTTGTCAGGCTCTGAAGTCCAGTCGCTTCGAAACTTGAATTTTCCAGAAATATCATTTTGCCATGAAGTGTCGCCAACTTGCCAAAAGTATCGTCAAAACGGCAAAAAATATGGGTAAACTGAGTTTTCTATGAGAAATGCAAGAGGCGTTATTAACTCTTTAATTTACGTTAGAATAACGCGATTTTCTCAAAAATTTTGAAGCCGTTTTGAAATTATACACATATTTACAAATTCATAACAATAATAGTATCGTTTAAGTAGTATCGTCAAGTAGTAGTAGTTAAGTTTAGTATCGTCAATAATAGTAACAATAATGATATCGTTTAAGTTTAAAAATTGTGTACTATTTTTGCAAATTTTGATGAATGCCAAATAAAAGATGAAGGTTGTCAAATGTTTTTCCATAATTTCATCGGAAACTTTCATTGCTCATGTTCAAACGCATATATCTTAGCTGAAGATAACTATTCAGACAGCGGTAGGCATAAGTAGACTTCATTCGCAGTGTTTAATTCTTGCTATTCATTTATTTTAATTGGTTTATTTGCAACTCGAGAAGAAGAAGATCACTGATACACAGACACATGACCTATGGCCACAGCGTTTATGAACAAGATGGCGTATGTTAAAACCGAGCTTAGTTTCTCAAGATAAGTTATAATGTTAACTAACCTTGAAGATGATTAAGTACAATGCCGTATCGCACATCGCACTTGTTAAAATAAAATTCTTTCTCTTCTACATCTTTTACTTAATTTAGATTTATTATTTGTTCACGTATATTATTTGAAACCGTGATAGATTTTTGTTCTGTGTACCTGGCAACTTCGATGCATAATTAGTTTGTTTATATTCTACATGGCTCGGTGCATGACTTTGAGTTAAGTAATAAACATATAGTAAAAGAATCGAAATCTTTGTGGAAGAATATAGAATGGGGCATTTAAGAGAATTAGCGCTTGACAGTCTTGTCTTACTCGAAATTGAATCGATAGAACAGTTGTTAACGTAAGCAAACGCCACGTTTCAAAAACCAATCAGGATCGAGATACCCACACTACGTCATTTGCAGGCATTCCATTTCTACGGTGTTTTGATCTTTGCTGTTTCCACTCTTCAGTCCGTATGATTGCAACAAAATTATCCTTTTATGCCATTTAGAAAATAATTTATGTAACTAATAATTAATGGATGTAAATGGTGTTCCATATTTTTGTTCCACATTTCCTTTAGCTTGATAATTACGATTATTCAAAAACCTAATTTGATAATTCCATAAAATGAATGATGTCAATCGGTTCATTAAATAGAGTGTGGCTCAAAATAAAGGTTTCCAGAATAACTTTTGGTCTAACGATTTGATATTTACATACTATACAGACAATGAGTTTAGTTTTTCTTCTTTTTGTTGGTTAAATTTCAGTCTTGTTGGCCTTTTAAAATACAAATATTCTTGTCTTCTGATATGAATCCATAGCTTCCAACATCTACGGAACTTCCGTAGTTCCAAATATTATTTTTCCGAGTAGTTTCAAAGGTATTGTATTAATATATCAATAAATTGAAGAATCTTGTCTACCACTTCATATAGATAATATGGTCAAATAAGTAACTTCACACATCCCCATAGCTGCCAACTCTTCCGGTTTTCCCGGAAAATTTTATTTTCATATTTAAAGTTCTAACGGAATTCATGTTGTTTCACTAAACTCCTTGAATTATAATAATAATTTTAAATCAGTTTGACCACCACTACATATAAATAATTACAACAAATATATAAAAGCATATTAGTTCATACAATAGCGAATTTCAACCTGATTAAAATATAAATGTATTTTTGAGGAAGATAGTTTCTCGGTAATTGTTTTACTACCGCTTGGAAAATCCATTCTCGAAAAGAGTGAATGTTGGCAGGCATGCATCCCCATTAGTAAAAATTAATCTATATATCTATATATCTATATCTATATATCTATATCTATATATCTATATATCTATATCTATATCTATATATCTATATCTATATATCTATATCTATATATCTATATCTATATATCTATATCTATAT